TGAATTGTACACTTTAAATATATGGGATTTTACCTCCATAAAGCTGCTACCACCTCCGGCCCTCCCAAAACAGTCCCCTCTGGATGTACTCAGCCCTGTGCCTCCCTACCACAGAGGCTCACATGCAAAAGGAGATTAGACACAAACACAGGGACAGCAGGGCCATGGCACCAGCACCTCCGAGAGCCGCAGGAACCACTCCTGCCTGGGGCACGGCCTTCCCTGCAGAGAACAGGGGCTTGAGACAGCCATTCACAGGACTCAGTGTCAACTCTTCCCACCTCTTTGCAAAACCCGCTGTTGGTTCTGTTCAGGTAGGAGATGCAGGCCCTGTCCTAGCAATCACTCCTGTCCCCGAGCAGCCCCCAGCCCCACCTTCTCTCTGACCCACTCCTTTCTCCGTGGCCTCTGCCCCCAGCAGGCCCTGACCTGGCAGCAGCAGGACAGAGACGCTCTGGGCCCCGTGCACATTCCAGGCCTCACAGCTGAGTCTGAGGTCAGGGCTGAGCCTCTGGCGGAGGCTCAGGGAGCTGTTGGTCCAGGGCCCCTCTGAGCTGGAGGTGACCATGTGGGTGGTGTTGCCATGGTTCCCCTCCAGCAGCCCCGCCCCCAGCCGCCAGCGCAGGGAGGGGGCCGGCTGGGCCCTGGAGGAGCAGCTGCAGTGCAGACCCTGGTCCTCCCAGGAGCAGGAGGGTCCCAGCAGCTGCGGGGGGTCTGTGGGGAGCGAGGAGAAGGGTCAGCGGTGCCTCTAATCTCCCCAGAACCCAGCTGTCCTGCCCCCCGGGGTCTCACCACTCACAGACCACGGAGAGGCTGAGAGAGACGCTGTGGGAGCCCAGCGGGTGCCGAGCTTGGCAGGTGAACTCTCCTTCCTGTGCAGGCCCCACGCGAGGCAGCTCCAGGATCGCGGTGCTGGAGAGGGGGGTGGCGTTCAGGCCTGGGGACCCCCGGAACCAGCTCAGCTCGGCAGGGGGGTTGCTGTCAACCTCACAGCGCAGCCTCAGGGCCTCTCCCTCCAGGATGGAAAGGGATGTGTTTTGCAGATTCTTAAAGGCTTTGGGGAGAACGGTTATGAGGGAGGGAGAGAGAGAGAGAGAGAGAGAGAGA